TCTTTTACACCCTGACCATAGTCAATATATACTGGATTTGCTATGTCAGCTTTTTCTGTTATATTGTCAACTTCATTTTGCCAGAGTTCACCCTAGTATCCCCAGCACCGGTTGGTTTTAAGTCCATGTTCTTCTCATTTCTCCAGTCTCTTTTCACTTTCAGAACTGGAGAAGATAAAGAAAGGGATAAAAAAAAAATAATAAGAGTTGCTTCAGACACCTTTTTCTGCAAGATTATTGAAATACATACAGGCACACATGTGCACACACACATATACATACACTAAGACTGTTAGTCTTGATTTTGACATAAATGTTCTTTTTTCTAAATGATCAAATTTGGGTAATTCTCATTCCTGGTAAATATGCTGTGTTAAATAAAACATATGCTTTGGAATTAGATTTGTTGAATCTTACTTTCCCCATCTGTAAAATGGAAGATAATATTTACCTCACTGAGGAAACTTCTCCATCTCAGTAAGTGACAACACCATTTAATTGGTCAAGCCAAAATTTAGAAGTGATTTTTTAAAAAAGATTTATTTATTTATGCATACAAGAGCTGGGGTACAGGCCGGAGGTGTGGGGGGTGAGAGCCTTCACCAGAGACAGAGTGGGGAGCAGAATAGCAGATCTACTGAAATACACTGCTGAGGGGAGCAGCGGGCGAGTCAGGAGAGGTCTGCTGTGCCATGTGGGTAGCTCCCTGGCCTGCCAGGGGGTTGAACTCATGCTGCAGAGACCACAGACAGCTTCATAGGTTGCGTCTTAACCCCTTGAGCCATCAGGGAGGCCCCTAGAAGTGATTTTTGATGCCTAGTCCTCCTCCTCCATTCATATTTGATCTCTCATGAGTCCTGTTGACTTTATGTCCAAAGAACGTCCTCAACTTCATCAGGTTTCACCAAGTACAGTACTATAACATTTGTTCAGGGGCTATCATTACTGGTCTAAGCTACTGCAATATGTCAAACATTCTTCCTGATTCCACTTAGGCACACTCTCCCACCCTGAAATCTATTCTCAGTGCAGAAGCAAGTAATACTTTTAGAAAAGAACTGAGGTGATGTTGTTCTCTTGTGCGCTAGAATGAACATTGGTGTTCCTGAGCTATTAGGAACCACAATGAGCTATTACCTCCTGCCTGCTAAAATTGCCATCATAAAAAAGAAAGAAATAGCAGGTATCAGAGAAGATTCAAGAAAAGATGCCCTTGTACATTGTTGGTAGGAATGCAAACTGGTGCAGTCATTATGGAAAATAGTATGGAGTATCCTCAAAAGATTAATAATAGAACTATCATATGATTCTGCCATTCCCCTTCTAAGGGTATGTCCAAAGGTAACAAAAACATGAACTTGGAAAGATGTTTCACTCTATGTTCATTGCAGCGTTATTCTTTAAAGCTAAGACATGGGAACAAGTGTCCATTGACAGATGAATGGGAAAATAATTTATGATATAGATAGGGGAATATTATTAAAAAGTAAGAAAATCCTGCCATTTTTAACAATATGGATTAATTTTGTGGGTATTCTGATAAATGTGGTAAGTCGGATGAAGTATCTCACTTATATATAGAATCTAAACCAATAACAACAAGAAAAAATTCATCAAAAATGGAAAAGATCAGATTTTTGGTTATCAGAGCTGGGTGGCAGAGGAGAAAGAGTTGGAGGAAAATGGTCAAATGGTACAAACTCACAAGAAAGCTGTTAAAATTGAGTCAAATTGTTACACATAAGTGGTAATATAGACAGTCCTAAAGCACAACCAGCACTCAGCAACTTGTATTTATATTTATAATTAATATTCCCTTTTGCCTCTTCATTCTTCTCACTCGAACTTGAAAACATTTTCTTTATCTTTCTGGCCCACATAAAATCAGTGATCATGGCTAATTGACTCTTCCTTTCGTTTAAAGGTTTATTTATTTATGCATACAAGAACTGGGTGCAGGCCAGAGGTGTGGGGGGTGAGAGGATTCACCATAGACAGAGTAGGGACAGAACAGGCAGACTGAAACACACTGCTGAGGGAACCGCGGGCGAGACAGGAGAGGTCTGCTGTGCCATGTGGGTAGCTCCCTGGCTGGGGATCGAACTCATGCTGCAGATAGCTTCATAGTGCTGCATCCCAACCCCTTGCACCACCAGGGAGGCCCCCTGATTGACTCTTCCTTGAAAATGTTCCTCATGATTGTCCTTTCCTTTTCATTTCTAATGCCATGTTCCTAATTCACTTCCCTTATTTTACCTTCTCTTCTCAAACCATTTATGTTGGGCAACCAGATAATTCTTCATGAAGACTCTTTCCTCTCTTTAAAAATAAAGACCTTCCATTAGGGGTTCCCCTGTGGACACCAAATAAAGCAAAAATTCTTGTGTTCCAAGGCATTACAATCAAGACTTTCTAATATTTCCATTGTTCCTGGAGAGAGAGCCTTTACTTTTGTCAAATTCATTAGAGCCAATGACACTTTCAGACCACATCAAAGTCTACTTTTAAGCACTGTTCCATCATAAGACTCTCAGGCATGGGACGGTTTCTATAGCACTATTCTACATTGAAATATATTTTAGTAACTCTATAGGGGCATAATTAAAAACATAGGTATTAAGGTCAGAGAGTTGCAGAAGATAAAATTAAAGTACTTGACTATAACTTAAATCATTTTAATGCACTCAACACAGGGCAACAATCATTAGTATTATTGTTAAGTGCATTTCTTGTTTCCCTACTAAAATGCTCCTAAAGGACAATGACTTTCTGATATTGGTGGTAACTTTTCAGTGCTTTACCTGGCAAACTTTTATTATATTCTCAGTATTATTTGCTCATAAACTGACTTTTTATAGGCTGTGGGTTAATTTCTTGTCATGCCTTGAGATGTGATCATTTCATCATTGTAAGGGATATGCTAACTCACTCACTGTGATTGATAATGTGATTTGAGGATATAGTTTTGTGCTCAACTTTTTATTGGTGTTGATTAAAAAGTACAGCCTGCGAGTCAGGGTATAATGTGAACAAAGCAGTTGCTATTAGGTAATATAACATCAAAATTATAATTGCATGCTTTCCTACAATTAAGTGTCAAATAATTTGTTAAGAACCGCTTTGAAATACTTCCATAATGACTGAGAAGGAAGTTGGACTGATGAAAAGAGTACCATTTTATTTGAGGCTCTAAAAGTACCTGACAAGGCTGCCGTCCATTTTGCAGATTAGATACACTGAGGTTTAGTAATTTAATGTTTTTGCTTTAGCTATGCTGTCATACAGGAGGAAGGTCAGCTGCATAGTAGAGTATTCTAGATCCAGAATAATCTGTGCTTCCTCCGTGATTTGTCTACTGTTATCTTAAGTTCGTTGCAACTGTGTACCCAATCAGATTTCCCCTCTCACCTTACCTGATGAAAAGAGTGAAGACAAATTCATGGGCTACCTGGAGCCATGCTCTTGGACTTTAGCTGAGTTTCTCGTTAGTTTTCTCCCTGCTTCTATTTATTCTTTTTTTTTTTCGTGTCCATTTTCAATTTGAGCACGACTGTTCAAATATATATTATTTAAGCACCTTAAATCTCTTTTCAAACAAGGTGTGTAATACATCCATAACTAATTTATACACTATTCACACATTTCCATCAGACTAAGAACAGCTATATTGTTGAAACACTAGGCTTTTGGAGAAAACCACATGTGGATCTGAATTCTGTCTCTGACACTTAATGACTGTGAGATCTTGGTCAAGTTATTTAACCTTTCTGAGTTCCCTCTCTCTAAAATGGAAATAATAATCCATAACTCAGGGAGATGTCTTGCAGAATAAGTAAAATAACTCATGTAAATTACTTGGTGCATAGTAGGCATTCAATAAATGTCAGTTCACTTCTTATCCGGGTTAATAATGGTTATTAGACTATATTAAAAACTAGAACCAGACTGTGATAATGCATTTCTTTATTAAGTATTTAAGCCCAATAACTAATTTCCCTCAGGGGGAAGGACGAGATATGTTGAATTAGTTTCATTTGGTGAACTTATTTATTAGTCTATTTTTTCTTCACCATTATTTAGTTCCACAGTCCATAATTTACTTTTCCTGCAACAAAAATGTCACAGTCTGGTATTCCTTTGAACTCTGCTGTGACTTGAAAAAAAAAAAAATCCTAGATTTGCCATTTATTAGAGATCATTATTAATTATATTAACAGCTCGATTGTGTTTCATAACTACTTCATGCTGACAAACTTTTCTCTCAACAGTTCCCCTGAGGTCTAAGGATTGCAAAGGCTCAAGTTTTCAATGGCAATGTTACAGCAAAAGAGAAACCAGGGTGGGGGTGGGGGTGGGCGATCCACACGGTCTTGTGTTCTTTCGTGTGAATTTTATAGGGTTGTATTTAAGTGCGGTCACGTTTCCCTCAAGGGCAGAACCCAAGTGAGACAGGCAGGGAAAGTGGGACTGGACCACCGAGCTGCAACTACGTGTGCCTTTGTGCCTTTAAGAACTGGAGACTTGGCAGCAGCTCGGCCTCCTTCCCGGCCCACCTCTGAACTCTGATTGACAGGGCTCCGGGCCGGGCGGAGCTCAAGGAGGCCGAGGGGGCGGGGCCTGGAGCCAAGCAGCGGGGGGCGGGGCCGCCTGTTCTGAGACGACCAATCAGGGGCAGGAGGGCGGGGCCAGCGCGCCCAGCTCCCTCCTCCTCTCCCCCGCCTCCTGCCTCCCTGCCCCCTCCCTCCTCGCCCCTGCCCCCTCCCTCCCCGCTCCTTGGCGTTCTCCTCCTCCTCCTCTCAGGCTGTGGTTTTTCTGTATGTGTTTCTGGAGTCCTGAGCCTGAGCTAAACAAAAGCAGGAGGCTGACGGGGCTGCTGGAGTTTGCAGAGACGCGGAGGAGCAGAGCGCCGGTGCTCTGCCTGCCGCCGCGGCCGGGGGAGATCTGGCTCTGGCACCAGCCCACCCCCTTTGAGATCGCGCTGGCCCGGAGTGGGGGTGGGGGGCGGCGGGGGGCGGGGGGGAAAGTTTGCCTTGCAATCCCCCTGCCTTCCTCTCCTTTCTCCCGATCAATGCATATTTGCAAAAGGATTAAGCCACCGATTTAAGCGCCGGGAGCCCATTTCTGCCTTGCAAAGGAGACCGGACTGAAAAACCCCAAAGCCAGCTCTGATTTCTTTGCGTCCAGTGGGAAGGTGGTTTATTTATTTATTTATTATTATTATTATTATTTTTTTTTTTTGCTTTTTGGAGTCAACACCCTTCCCTACCAGCCCTTCTCCCCACCCTCACCCCGCAACCCCTTCACGCCCCCTCCCCCCGCCCCACTCCCCAGCCTCCCACCACCATCCTCCAAAGAGGCAACGGGATTTTTTTTTTTTTTTTCTCTCTTTTGGTCTTCTTTCCACCCCCCACCCCCCCTTCCCTGTTTATCCTGCGAAGGATTTGAAGACTGCTTGAAGGATCAAAAGCCTCGGTGCTTCCTAGGAGCCGGGCCGAGGAGCAGTCGAGGAAGAGCCGGGGGCTCGGGCGCCTTTGGAGATGGACGAGCAGCCCAGGCTGATGCATTCCCACGCCGGGGTCGGGATGGCCGGACACCCCGGCCTGTCCCAGCACTTGCAGGATGGGGCCGGAGGGACCGAGGGGGAGGGCGGGAGGAAGCAGGACATTGGAGACATTTTACAGCAAATTATGACCATCACAGACCAGAGTTTGGATGAGGCGCAGGCCAGGTGAGATGGAGGCTTTTCTTTTCCTTTCTTGGGGTTTTTTGTTTTTCTCCCTCTCGCTGGGGGAAACAATGGGAACCGAATCTCCACCGCGCTTTCTTTTTAAATGTTATTTCTTTTCCCATTTTGACAAGCAACTATATGGCGGAGGAGTAAAATGGGAAGAAGCGTTGTTATTGAAAGTGTTATCGCCCATGCCGTGATGTGGCTGGAGATATATATATATTTATATATATATATATTTATATATATAGTATGTGTGTGTGTGTGTGTTGTGTGTGTGTATGGAGGTATTTATATTTATCCACACTAACACTCAGGCACGCCGAAATTTCTGCCAACTGATCCTGAAGCGGCCCTCGGCACTTTTTACTGCCTTACAAAGTATCAGAGAGAGCAGAATTGTCAAGTTTGGAACAGCATTCCATGCTTGTGGAGGGACTCCGTAACATTACTAAATAAAATGTCCCACACACTTTATTTGCAAATTTAGCTGACTCCTTACCTAATTCACGGACTTTTAGTTTTCTTTCTTGATAGACCCCTGCAAAATGTTTTTTTTTTTTTTCTCTCTCTCTCTCCCCACTCCCTTAGGAAAAAAACAGGGTAATTCTTTGTCAGTGTTCTCAGTTCTCCAGAAAATATTTTGCATTCATTTAATTCTGTTTCACAAAGAGCTAATGGATGGAGAGAAAATATAATTTTTGCTTTTAGAGGTATTTGTTAGTATTAAGGGAATCATATTTAGTTTAACTTTATTGTCTCCTAATTTGAGTTCGTTTACTTAACCTTCTGTAGTAGAGATTGTATGGTACTTTAAAAAAGGAGTGGGGGACAAAAATCAAACATGCCTGCCCCTCTCCCCCCATGCCTGTTTCAGGACCACTTAGAACACAGCTAAATAGGAATGAAGGCATGTGTGAATTTTATATATTTCAGTGCTATGGGACATGAAGGTCTTCATTAAAGCAACATAATAAAGAAGCTATGGAGCTTCTTAACTTAATCCGCTGCCAGGTATATAGTTCTCCACCTTGGGATTTTACAGTAATTTTCTTTCAAAATAAAACATAGATTCAGTGGCAACCCTCTAACAGCTTGCCTAAGGCCCATCTTGAAAGGAAGAATTTTAAAAATCTAATGACCATATAAATCTATACAATTATCCAGCTTTGTTAAATCTCAGAGGTAGTTGTTTGTAAACATATATACACATTTCCTATACCTCAGATTACTTAGTTATATGGAGACACATCTCTATATTTATTTTTGTCTAAGGGCAATAGGAATTTGAGTTGAGAAAATGAGAAGCAGCAGTTAAAAGCATGGATGTTAAGAATTACACTCATATTTCCGCTGCTAGCACATGCAACATGTAAACTCAAAAGTACTGGGGTTTACGGCTGCTTGAAAACTTGGAAATGTTCAGAGACTGGAACTGTCCTAAATTTTTTTTTTTAAATAGGGGAAAGTTTATAAAAATCAACCGGTTGAGCTTTTGAATTTTATTATCTGAAGAAAAGCAATGGGTATTGTTAAGCGGAAGATTTCCACTGGCAACTCTTTTTGAATTGAAATAGATTTCTCCATGACATTGTTCCAGAAAAATAAACTCAGACATACCAATAAACTGTTTTAATCACAAGTTTGTGAAGTGGAAGGGACCGGTAAGCCTGGAGACTCACCACTTCTCCGATGTTTAGTCGCACTTCTTTTTGTACAACTGAGGGCAGTTGTGGCTTGGCGGGTTCCCCCTTTTAATGGCCTAGATGCTGAGAGAGAGCAGACACGATTTTGGGAAAGGGATATTTTCTGTTATTTTTAACCCCATTCATGTACCATGCATTATTTCTATAAAGCAGAGCAGTATTTTTGGTATTGTTTTGTTTTGCATTTGGGCCTATATATAAGAATACAATTAATAACAACTATTTTAAAAGACCCCCAAGAGGCCTTTGATACATTGAAGTCTTTTCCATTTTTTTTTTTTCTCACCCCACTTGAGAACTAAATCACCAATAAGCTTTTTGGTTAAACAATGTAACTCTATTGAGCAAATCCTCTATCTGTTTTTCCTTTCCCTAGTCACACTTTCATAAGGTCCATTTATTATTTACAAAGTAAACCATTAGCATTTTAGATGCAATGCAAGTGTTTATTTTGATTTGCTTGGATTTTGAACTTACTACTTCTCTGCTGTGCATTATGTAGAACCTGCTTCTGGTTTCTGTTCTGCATGAGGATGTATGTGTGTCTATTTTTTTTTTTTTAACTTTCAAAGGGATTAAAAAGAAATTGCATGTGTCTTGAGTGCCAGGGGCTCCATTTATCTTCACACGTTAATTTTAGTTAGTAAACAGAATTCCCTTAACTAATAGCTGATACGATCAGTATTTTGTTTCCAAAACAATATCCCTCTGCTAAGTGCTTCCCTAGTAAAATAAAGGGAAAGGTATTGTTTTGTTCAAGTGCATTCTGAAGACAGACATACACAAGGATCAGGTAAATCACTAATCTAAAAGGGAGAATCGTATTTATTTTTTCCCCAATGGGTGCAAGGTCCTAATTGTAAATAATTGAATTTCAACACCTGCAAATAAGCGGTGTGTGCACAAGAGGCATAATGTGAACACAGAGAAATGAATTTATTCCCCATATGGGTATGTTTGCCCCCTGGCAATGCATTTCCATACTCTTTAACTTGGGGACTGAAATTTTATAAATTGACAGTTCTACTCAGAAGACCTTTCAAGCATCTTGTGTTTATGAGAATACAGGGGCATCTGCGGAATGAATTCGAACACATGGATGAATTAAATTTGAAAACACACACAGACCGAGAGGCAGACAGCTCCTAGGCTGTGATGGTTGCATAGATTATACAAAACTGTTAACCCATGCATTTGGCTTTGCCATCTTCATAGCCCTAGATCAGATTATTGTGTAAGAATTCCACTTTGATTAAAGTACTTTAAAAAAACCCAACTACCTAAATGGGCATAAAATAGGTTAGTTCTGTAGTTAAAACCCTACTCTCTCTCTCTGCTAATTAACAGTATTCTTTTTCTATGGTGGGATTCTGTATATTAAGTCATAAAACAATTGAAGCATGCCACAGAGTTGTGCTTGCTATATAATTTTGGCAAAATGTTCACATTTTTCCCCCTGTGCATTATCAGCAGTTTGATCTTGAAAGTCCACCTAAGCTATTATGTTGTTTCTTTCTTGCAGAAAACATGCTTTAAACTGCCACAGAATGAAGCCTGCCTTGTTTAATGTGTTGTGTGAAATCAAAGAAAAAACAGGTAGGAATGAGATTGCAACATTTAAGCATTTTCTTTGGTCAATAGACTCACTTAACCAGCAATCACAAACCCATTATTTAAATATTCAAATTTTAGATTAAAAGTGCTCTTAAGATTGATCGAATATTCCAATAGGAAGTCCTGGCAGCCCTGCTTCCTGAAAAAGAAAGCTCCAAGTTTCTTTGACAGTTATTATCAAGTATTACTGGTTTATTTTCCTTTACTCTTGACTTCTTTGAAACTGAGGCTACACTGTAGTTTTTGAAGGGAAATTTATAGAATTATGTGCCCTTGGGGCAAAAATATGAAAGTAAAAGTCTATTTCCTAAAGGAAGATATTTTAGTCCATATTTAAAATCCTGGTTTTTTTTTTTTTTGTTTGTTAGTTTGGTTTTTTTTTTTTGGAGTTGGATATGGAGTCTAAACTCTTTAAAGTTTTCTTTCCTTTTTTCCCACTTTATAATTGCATGAAGCAGCAGACTAGAGGTTTTCAACACAGTGTTGTTAAATACCTTTGTGAAAGAACTCAACAACCTCAAGTTATCGGTATTTGAGTACCCTGTTATTTTACAGCAGGGAGAATTGTTGGGTTTAGGAGAATATAATGCTAGGAGAGCATTCATTCTGTTGTTTTTCTACTTTCTAGAACCCCATATCATGGACTAACACACTTATAACACATCCCAGGAGGGCATTTAAATTTTAAAGCAACAATTAAAAAATAGCAGTCATCAATCAGAGGTGTTCTTAAACAACAGATGCTTTGGGAAGGACATTTAGCAACATCTTCTTGTTTGTTTATTTTAATCCTTAATTTTCCATAGTGGGTGAATCTTTCCCTTGTATAAAGAAGAGTTGAGAAGGCAATCTGAAACCAGGACTTAAAAAGATGAGGATCGAAGAAGGGTGGTTATATAAAGCGGGAGCTTCTGCTGCCTTCTGACTTGCTGGCTGGCTTCAGAGCCGTGCAAAGTACCTGACACCCGATTTATTTATTTATTTTTTACAACAAGGAGTGTAACAGTCAATAATTCATATCTAAACCATATAAGCAAGGGCATGACATGAATGAAAGTGACAATAAATATGATTGCATGCCGGGTTGATATACATTGATAGTTACACATAAAAAAGGTGGGGGGGAGGGGGAAGGACACACAGGGTGGCTTTCTTTTTGAGAGCTCTCTGTGTTTCTCTTTCAAAAAAATAGTTTCAAGATGTGCCCATTGATTGCATGTGTAATTATTTAGCTCTTGAAATGTTCGTAAAATTAGTAATCGGCTCCTTTGTTGAATGTTATGTGTTGTGCATACGTCCTAGACAAAGCACCTGAGTGGTGATGTTCAGACCCTCCAGTCTTTCAGGTTGCCTGACCAAAGCCAAACCTTATTGCAAAGCTGTTAATTGCATTGTTTTAGCTGCAGAATACCTTTTGAGAGATTTATGGATTGTGCATACAAATATCTAAAAGTGTTTCAGTTTGTCACACTTTTTAGGTTTTTTTTTTTCCTTATTAGCCCAGTACAGGAAACATAAGTGTATATAGATATACACACACACATATATTTTTTCCTTCTCTCCTTTTCTTTCTTGCTTTCTTACTCAATCACTTTCTAAATCTCTTATTTACTTTGAATATTTGGTTTGTCGAAATTTGTTTTGGATTGAGTGTGTATTCCTGCTTATCTCGCTTTATAAAATGTAAAATCAGGATATAAAGGCATATTTGATAATCCAGGCTAAAGAGATTCTATTTTTGAAGATGCTATCAGATTTGTATTGAAAGGAAGGCAATGGGGCACTTAAATGTGTGTTGTGGCCAAAGTGTTTAATTTTAGTCTTCTAATTAAAACCTTTTGAGGCAGTAGATCAAAGTGGGTGGGTGTGAGTTGTGATCTGGTTCAGGTGTGGGTCCAAGAGTTTGCTCCTTACTCATACTGGCTACACTATGGTGATAGGACACAACTGTGTTGGTGAAAAAACGCTCCAAAGGTATAAATTCTTGTTGGATTTATGTATTTTTAAAAATTTTTCTGTTGTTTAATGACATTAATGCTTGGAGATTTTTAAAAAAATTAAGTTAAGGTTTTGTGTGTTTCTAGAAGAATAAAGTTTAACAAATAGTTTATTGAGTACTGTCAATTAAAAATGATAAGAATCACTTGCCTCATGTTAGGGGGAAATAAATACACATAGATAGTTTTGGCTTGAGAGAGCACCCAAGGGTGAAAGTAAAAAAAAAAAAGAAAAGAGAGAGCGTGAAGAGAAAAACAAGCCTACTTCGCTCTCATTCTTCAACTTGTGTGTTCGAAGGATTAAGGGGAAGGGAGAAACTTCTCCTGGAATGTTGAATGTTCTCTGTTAAAGGTAGGAGAGGACTGTGGTGTGTTGAAAGGAACCCTTTGATTCTAAGTCACGATTACTTTGTTACTCAGGATCTGCTAACCCTCTCCTGCGTGGATGGGTGGCAGACACATAAAGTGTCTGTAAAGTTGTAGAAGCTTTTTTCCCTCCTGATGCAGAGCTAGTGAAAAGATCCCCCTGGATACATCTGCATTCTTTATTGCTTTGGACTTTTTCTATTGTTACTTCAAGCCCCTTCATACTGAATGAATGTTTTTGAGCTTCCACCTCAAGCCTCACAGAGGTTACCTGGTTGAGGATTTGCTTTGTATGTCTCTTGTCTTCCAACACCAAGTTCACAGGTTTGGCTCACCTGGCTGGGTTTATAAGGAACACAGGACACTCTGAGGAGCCTGGGAAATGCACTCCATTGCTGCTTTTGCTTTTGACTTTTTGGTAATGATTTTATTTGGAAAACTCAGACATAAGTAGGAAAACTATCTTGGAACTTTAAGGAAATAGGCGCGTAGCACCCAAAGTACATAGCACTGACTACATTACAGTTGATTGATGGGTATTTAAGTCAGAAATTACTGTGGGGATATTAAAAAAAGAAGAAACGTGAGCCTTCTTGTTTCAAAGTGTGGGTAAGTTTTTACTTTGATAGATTTTTGCTTTTTTAATAAATACTAAGAAAAAAAGAATGCTTAGGAAAAACAAACGGGCGGCAGATCTCAAACAACAGCAAGAAAAAAAAACCCTGTCAAGACTTAACAGCCACGTACATTTCAGTAGTGGCTTTTATCGGCTTGCTCCTCCTGGGAACATAGAGATTTAATATAGAGTTTAGACTACTTAATAACTCATTTTCTTTTGCTGTTTAAGGACCATCCCGTGGACTTCTGAGATATTAGCAACAGGCTGAGTTTTACCTATATTATATATGTGGTGGTGCTAGAGTTGATGGGATGGAAAAGGAGGGAAAAAAGTCAAATATATTGCATTTCTTAAAAAAGACCATGAATATATTTTAAAATGATTCTTGATTTTTAAAAATTTCTTTATCAGAAATCATGCAAGTTTAAAAATTATAATAGGAAAATACAAAAAAAAATTGGGTGCCATTTACAGAGGAGAATATTTATAGATAGCAATGAATACCTGTAATTGTTGTGAATAGTTTTTAATTTTAGAATATAATAGCTATATGTGGCACTTTTCAGTCAATTTTTCTCTGCACATTATCTGAAGTTAAATCAAATCACTGAAGGAGGTTAAAAAATAATTTTTTGCTTCCTTAACACCCTTTTGTTCTCTCTCTTCTTTTTTCTCTATGTTCAATTAACACCCCCATCACAGAACTGTAGTTTTTTTTTAAGTCTACTACTGTATTTCATATCTGACACCCTCCCTTATTATTCTTGCCTGACACTTCTTTTTTAATATAGCAATTACATTATGGGGCTTCTTTGTAGCATTAGAACGTAATTTGTGTGTGTGCAGGTACACACGAGTGTGTGTGTGTGCATGTGTGTTTATATGTAGATGGAGAGGAGACTAGAAGAAAGCAGGGAAATAATTCTGATGGTATTAGGTCTTGAGCAGAGAGCAGAAGTAAAGTAACTTCGGACTGTTTAGAATTGCCTCTGATCAGATTCCTTTTGGGGCTGAAGTGGTGGGAGTGACTTTTCTTCGGCGTTTACATCTAGCCGGCAAAGGCAGAAACTTTTTCTTGCTGTTGCGACAATTCCAGTATTGGTTGTTTTTTGTTTGTTTTGAGTGTGTGTGTGTACTGGGCTGAGAGGAGAAAACGGAACATGTGGAGGGGAGTTACAAGCCTGTTTTACTTGAATGCTACCTTTCGGGCACAGCAGTGTGCTGGCAGAAGGAATGTGATTCGCCTGTATACCCCTTATCTGGATCTTGGTTATAAATGTGCACACTACCACTAGGAGAGAAGATGGGTTTCTCAAGAGCACTGTCCCTTCTCTGCGTGTTCCCATTTTTGTGATTCGCTTCGAAGTGAAAATTCTGGCATTTGAGAGGTGGGGTGTAGGGTGCCGAGAGCTCTTAGGCCATCCCTACCAGAATGGCATTTTTGGAAATTAGGGGTCATTAGACACCCATCTAATCAGAGGGGTATCTTTGAGGAGTAGAAATGAGAGAGCTTTAGGTTCAGCTGAGGTGACTAGGAGAGGATATCTGAGAGGGGAAACGCAGAAAGAAACTGTGACCTGGGAACTGGGGGGTGTTGGAAGCTGTGAGCAGTGGGGGTCCAGTTGGGAGGCAACTGCACCCCTGCCCAGGAGGCCATGGCCAGCTTGTGGATTTATCTCGCTGCCGATGTCAGGTCCTGTCGTGTGCTCTTCCACTGTGTTCTCCTGACACATGTGAACTTTTGGTCGTTGTTGTTGGCAAAATTACAAAAATGCCCCCAAACAGGAGAATAAACTCAACCCTAGATATCGAACAGAGTTAAAAAGGGAAACTTTAAAATTTTAATTTAAAGCATATCCCTGCATTCTTTTAAGACATGGTTTACTTGTAAGCCTTAGAAAAATATATTCTTAATTTTGATCTCAAGCCTCTGCTAGTTGAATGCTGTTATGTTTTGAACATGGAGTGAATATAAATATACTTTCATTCCTTTTCCTTTT